TATTTTGCAACGACCATTATTTTGTTTGTTTTTGTCTTATATAAAAAGTTTACAAGTTTATTGTTACAGCTTCCATTATAAATGGTAGTTTAAACTTCGTGACGAGTTTTCTTTGTCACAATATCATTATGGCAATCACTAATGTAATTCAATCGCTTTAAACTTTGTTTCATACGCACGCAATACATTTTTTGCGCCGTTATGTTCAATTACGTCCGTGGGAGCTCTGATAAAACAATCTTGGCATGAGTCATCGTCGATTGGGTTGGCTGTCATGCAACTTCTTTTAATACTTCAGAAACAAATACAAATAATGTTTCTCTTAAAATTAATTTAACGTTGCTACTAGCTTTAACAACAATGTTACCATATGAAATATCCGATGTTATAAAGTATGTATTAAAAACAATATAAAAATATTCTGGAACAATGGCATGAAATAAATCATGCATGTTTGAGGAAGTAGCTCGGAATTTATCGGTACTTTGAATAAGTGAGAGATTTTACCCGTAGTTTATCTGGGTATATTACTTGGTTTATCATTTCTCTCTCGTGAGGTATCAATTGATTTACTGAGTAAACATATTGCCATATCGATAATTTCTAAATAAATAAAAAATACCCTAAACGGTTTCATGTTTATGTAGGTGGGACTTACAACACTAATCGTTGTTTAGAGACTTCGTTTGGTTGGCTTAATGTGTGCTATTGGCTAATGGTTTCAGTTTAGTACCGTTCTTATTACTTAATCTGGATTATGTCTAAAGAATTACGATCTAATGTTATTTATTAAATTAATCCAAATTTAGGCCAAATAATCTTGTTTCGCTCGATTTACAAAAACTTTGACCCAGTTCACGAGGCATTGAATAAACTCAAAAACTCGGTTAGATTATTCATTTGCCCTCTGAAATTATTCAGAAACAGATGTAGCGCCAGCATTTAAAAACGCAAAATGCGAAAAATAACCTCATTCCTGTTTCAAACAGAATAAAAACTGACTTTGCCAGCTCTCAACTGTCTACCACCTGCCATAACTTTGTCCTGATGTTTTCCCCAGCCTCACAATGCATTCATTAGCATACGCCATTTGCGACCAGTACTCCGCCCCTCTAGGCCTCACAAAACCTCTATGTTATAACTAAAGGACCTTGTTAGAACCTCTGGTCAAGTTGAGGTGTGAGGTTTTTAAATCTTCGTAATTTGTGTGGGAAATGTGGGCTCCAATTGTTTACTTTTGTCAGTTAAAAGTTTGAACATTGTGGAAAAGTAAATTTTGTCTAACTCAAGGATATTTCAAATATTGATTCTCAACTTATTATGAGTTGGGTCCACAGAATTTATCAATGAATCGAAAATGCTCAATTCATAGTTAAATTTTCTGTATTTGTGTATCTGGTTATAGATTTTCTCCTGCTCTTAAAAAAAACACCTAGCTGATCTAATGCGACAATCAAAATAGCAGCAATTGTTCAACTTTACACATAATAAGAATAGAATCCTGTAGTTCCATGCAAGCAGATACGAGCATAATGGCGGAAGCTTGCGGTCCATGCAAACAAATATAAAAGCACAGCAACATAAGCTAAAATGGCTCTTAATAACAACGAGATAAATGCCAAATATGCTGCAAGAGTAAAATTTGCATTTTCTGACAAAGAGTTAAATTACGTACAGTTATTTCAAGCTAGGGAACCTGAGACCGTCGAGATTGTACTAAGGTGCTATGTGTTGGCTACAGTTTTATTATTACCCAATTAATATAAGAAATTGAGATTAGTTACCTACTTTAGAAAGCCTACAAAGTTGGTCCTACCAAGACCTCGAAAAATACTTAGTAGTTGACATCTCATATAACTTAATGTTTTAAAGTTTAAAATAGAAAATGTTATCTAAGATTTATATGATAAATAAAATAACATAATAATGATATCTAGTATATTTCATGAAATATTCTCAATACCGCTTTAGAAATCTTACGTGAACCCCTAATGCTAAATTTGAAAGTAAACTTGAAATTACAGCTGATGATATCGTCACACTAGTCTAATCATTATCACAAACGACGTTAATAGTTCTCAAGGTTTCCCCAAAACTTCCATAATACAGCGGTTGCGTGGCCAAATTCAACAAGAACCTTAAAATAGATTAAGATTAATACTGAAACTATTTTTAGCAACGTTTGGACTATTTTCGTTTGCCTCGGTAAATAGAACAACATCATAATATCGCTTGAATGAAATGTTTGCTTTTACGAATACTTTTTTTACGATTTTTACGAAACGCAGTGAATTCAGCGCATGTTTTAGTTACTTTGAATATACTTATACTTACTTCTAATAGTTTGTTAAATAATTTATCCAGCATGAGTGTCAAGAATTGGTACAACGATTAGTATTGATCTTAAGTCAAAGTGCGTGTGGCCCCGATATCCTTCCTTGGGGTATCCCAAGGGATTACAGAGTGTAGCAGTGGATGTTGTTATTAATGTTACCAATGTGGTATAGGATTTTGAATAATATCCATTTGCGGCTAGTACAACCTCAGGAATGTCGGTAAATAACTTGAGTCATACATTTTTCTTCAAATTCGACAGCAGACAGTTTCACATCACTAAATTTCAGTTGGTTACTGCGTTTATTTTGATTCATTGGATTTAGTAATTCAATCATAACATAGAGATGTTTTAGAATAATTTTATTTGTTTATACGTGTACCTAAGCTGAGTCAGGAGCTCACAAAATAGACATAAACACTACAATTATATTCGCATCTAGGCAATATGGAGTGTATAAAAAGATATGATTCACAAACTGTACTGTTGCATAAACGTGAAATTTCTCTAGTTTGTTCGTAAAACACAAACTGTTTTATTGTTAACAATGCGTTTGAAATCTCGTGATGTTTTGTTGCGTTTCGTAATCATCATTACTGAACTTTATAATTGTGATATTAAAATGCGATTAAGGACAATATCAGCTGTGAACGTGTAAGCGAGAAAAACATTTTCTATTTTGTACTTACATTCAATAACAGATCCGATTTTCTAGTAACTGTTACTTATTTTAACGGTTACCGAATGAATAAGAATATAGAATAACATTACTTGTCGTATATAATTACCATAAACAGGCATTGTATCTATTTCCTCGTTAATTTATCACCGTTTAGTTTCCCTCTTGAAATGTTAATTTTATCACTGTCGGATCTTTTCGTAGAATATATGACATAGTTTTTGCTGTGTCTGTATTATTTAACACTGCGAAAACATTGAGTCATCACCAAGGCCTCGGGCCACGGTTCTATTCAATTCTTAATATCACGTTTTCTTGTTAAGGTTACAATTTATTTTACTTTCTATTAGGCATTTTAATGTAATAATTATTATTTACAAATGAAAAAATAATTCACATAACACATTCTCAACTTATAATACTGAGCCTGATGTGTTCCTTATTTGAAACTGTTTATAAAATAAACCACAACATTTTATTATCCTACTACTTAAAAGTCCCATTACTTGCGATCGTAACAAAATCCAATTACAACCCGAAAGAATTTATAGTTTAAGTTGAATGCCCTTTTATTGGTATCGATATTATTCGTATTGTGTCGTCTTTGCTTCATGTTATATGTTGATTCAAGTGTCCAGGTGATGGTTCTCTCTTACAGATGTCGCCGCTGCCGCTTTATGTCGCTACATGGTTATGGTGAACGGTGCTCCGTGTTCCTATAACTAACAATGTTTCATCTCTCTCTTTCCAGATGGACTTTGTTCCCGTCTCGCTCAGCCTGCCGTCCAACGGAATGTTTCTATCATAGAAGTGTTTTGCATTCCTCTTGTTCTCGGAAACTGTTTCTACATTTTAAATGGGATTGAGATCAGTAGCATTAGTTGTTTTAGAGATCGTTTTTGCTAGCTATAAGCTATGGAACTGCTGACGGTATAACGTTGCAGTGTTTAAAGTATTCGTAGGCTAGATTTCTTCAATAATTAAGCAGCTGTTAGAAATATTTAATGTTCCCTGACCGACCTTGGATGGGTTATTTTGGTCGATAATCGATTACTAATCGCTAACTTCCATTACACGTTTCTTCAAGTGAATAATATTTTAGTAGGGACCTTTTCATTAATAGTATTTTTTGGTATCACAGCCAATAATTCCAACTAAATGTGTCAATAGGATGAGTATCCATTATCTGTGATAACTGACAGACAGATTGCAATAGCGGCCAAGGTTTTATATTCGGAAATATATTTACATTAACATCAGGCTCTTTATTTTACGGTTAGCCACTATATTAATTGTATGACATCCGATTAGAGGCCTGATAACCTATTTCATTGATCGTCTCTTTATTCCTAATAGACATAAGGTTTCAAGTCGTATGTTTTGTGGGTTGCAACTATTATTTGTTCTGGTAGCCTTTCTTATCGAGTTACGAGTCGGTACGATCGTTCAGGGATTTCACATTTCGTCTTCGTTCATCTGATTATCCTATTATTCGATCACGTAACAATTCCGTTTGGAATTCTCTTTGTTTTTTAAGTGTTCTCTTGGATTCGGTTTTTTGTTGATAAGGCCTTTGAAAGTGTCTAGTGTATCGTACAGGTACTTTTTCCAGAAAAAATGGGTCCTTGAATTAAGTCCGTTTTTCTACATGAATAATTTTGTTTCTCCTATCTATTACTATATCAAATTAAGTATTGATTTAACTTCTTCTGGGTACGGGCTAGACAGTAATTGGTCAGTTGATATGCGTGAGTAAGTAAATTTTATATGCGATTGTTTATTTGACGTCAGAAGCCAGGTTATTGATCGTCTTCCACTAATCCGTAACCTTTGTCTGTCTCCATACCTTATTCTAATGGTTCGTTCGATACTGGTATTTAGGCCGAATCCACATGTCATGTCTCGATGTCATGACTAAATTCCGTATAGCCGCTATCTTATCTGATATGTTAAGGGCGCCTATACTTTACTACTATTCATTTTCAGGTATTTTATACATGCTTCCAAATTAAAAATAGTACTTAAAGTGATATAACTGTGATAGAAGTTTAAATTAGTATGCTCTAAAACCTAGTGATAATATCAGTGAAATGTCTTCTTACTAAAATGGAGAGGAAACTAACACGTGAAGATTTCATGAGGAAAAGTTTTCGAGCCCCGAAGGTGTCGCCCGCTCCAGAGGGTCAGGAACCTACTGTTAACGGAGCGCCACCACCATCACCGGTGTCTTTAGCCATGTTGGAGAGAAACACGCAACCACAACGAACCCAGTACGAGATAACCTCGTCGGGTATAGCTCCTAAACGACTTGAAATCAATAGAGCTCATCCCATCCACCTCAAGTCATTCCAATCGCCCGAACCTCCAGACGATACGACACCAATGCCGCCATCAGACGATGTTCTACGCAAACTCGAACGGCAAATTGGTGAAATGGAAAGAGGATTAGAAAAAAGGGCACAGAATGGTTCTGTTGGTGTTGACGAAAGAGTTAGGTACGCTGAACATGAGAACCTCTTGCGTACTGGCGTATCTTCAGTCGGAGGCGGAGGCTATCTTCCAGCAGATTCCGATACAGAGCACGACGTTGTACCATTCAATAGAAATGAAAGTACTCGCAGTAGTACCGGTGGTGCTACTCCAGTACCGAGACCAGCCACTCGACTGGCCAGAACAAACTCTGACACTCAACAATCAGTCGCAGCTACTGCCAGGATCATGAAGAAACTGGCTGACGGCAATAAAGATGAAAAGTCTAAGGTTATATCTCGAAAGGCGATACAAGCGCGGATGGAGCGCGTCAAGAACTCTGTCACGGGAAAACATGAGCACAGGGTTCTGGCTGAGCATAGAGTCGATCCGCCTTCCCCAAGGACACCTACCTCCCCCATATCGCCAAGGTCACAGGTAACGACGATTCTTTACAATATTGTGGATGTCCATACTACTCGTACTAAGCCTAAAATTGATATTGAATATCCTGATGTACAGTCGTGTTTAGGTTCCTAAGGCCTAAAGCGTTTAAAATGAATTTCACCTTAATGTAGTGTATTTCATGTTTAGCCTATTATAGTCTAGATAAAATGTAAAAAATACATCGATTCTCTCCAAAACCGATATGTAGTTATTGATCGTAAATTAAAATTTATAATATTTTTATAACGGACATAATTCAAATCACCAGTTTTGACGTGTTTTTATTTGACGTTGAATGTGTGGCTACCCACCCACACGCGACGTCTTAAATTGTATTAAGTGTTGTGTAATATTTGCTTACCTTGTTACCTAAACTCATTCACATTTGCTTGCGTAATGAGTACAAAAGAGAAGTAGACTGTAATCCTACTTTATTTTCTATTTTTATTTGAATTTTTCCTATAAAGAAGTCATCGGAATGGTTTGAATATATTTGAAGAGCTTAAGTTTTTTTTATTGAATTTATGTTTTCTTTTAATCATAAATGTATTTAGAAAAAGTTACTTAGGTACACAAGTAGTAAAAAAAGACTTGTACGTCACATGAAACAGATTTCTTTTTGATCTTTCCTAAAATAAATCAGTCACGTTATAGTAAATGAGCAGCCTTATTTCTACTGCCTACCTGCTGTGAAAAAGTCAATTTGTAACACTTGGCGCTTGGCGTTGACGCAGGCTCAATGACGTCACAGTCATATCACGGCCGACTGCTAGCTCCAAATATGTACACGAAAATGTTTATTGAAGAAATGATTAATTCGTATTGTGTGATACACACGCAGGTCAACCTAAATAAGCCTTCGTAAAAGTTTTTCATTGTTATTGTTTTTGTAATTAAGTCGAAAATCTGTTGAATACATTGACAAATCTGAGTAGGTTCTCATGCTTGCAAAATAAAGTTACCTTTATTACAAAGAAGACATTTTTCAACGATATGGGTAAAATTATCAGAATTAAGTTAAGATTTTTGTTTCAAACATGCTTAAATCGTTACTAGTTTATGCTAATTGTTTCTTTTTGTTTTCTTCACAGGTAAGCACAAAAACACGATTCCAGTAAAATGGCCAAGTCTACGTACGTAACTAATTGCGTTGTAAGGTAAAGTATGCACTTTGCTTCTCCAAATAAATTGTCTGCATTAGCGTTGAATTAAAATCTACGGATAATTAACCACATTTTATTTAGAGTTCAAATGAGATTGTAGGAAAAGATCTAAATACGTAAAAGACGAAATATATTTCTAAATGTTCAAGTTAGATCTCTAATTTTACTGAAAACTGTTAATATAGTTTTAAGTCACATACTAAAACAGCTTATAGTCATAAAATTCTAATATTTAACAACATTACACCTCTTAAATGCCGAATATTATCATACAATAATAAAATTAATGTCTTCAGCGTGATTTTTGAACCCAGAGACGCCCATTTAAGGACATCGCAAGTTATAATGTTTTATGAGAAACCATTCAGTTTAACGACGAAACACACAAATCTGTCCAAAGTTGTAATAAAAAAACGAAATCTTAGCTATTTCAAGGCCGCGTAAAAAAGTATTTGTAAGCTCAACGCGATTGAATGATGAGTGAGGAATGCAAACGCGAGCGGCATAACTCGGTATGCGGAGTCGAAACATCGCCTGTACTAACGAACTGTAGTTTACGCAATTATCATTTTTATTGCTTTGAGGAAGTATTTGCAGCCAGCCTATGTTTTAGTAATTATTCACATTGAAGCGCTAGCAATGAGAAATATTATTTCAGACTTACAAGGTTATTTTGTGGTCCAATGATTTTTTCGCCCTGGGTAAGGCCCAGATCTCTTACTAACTAAAATCCACCTCGTTTCTTTACCTGCTGTGAACTGGAACATCATTGCGATTTTTATAGTTAAGTTGTACTTAAGTAGGTAAATGTTTGTTTACTCTTTGACTGAAATTAACATTTGATTCCAATCCCTGGTGCTGACATAACATTAGGAGATATTAAGGACTAGCTACTCTAGCTCGGTTTCACCCGCTGCTCGGCTCCTACAGACCGTAGCGTGATCTTTTATAGCCTATAGCACTCAGGAACCTTGTAGCTATCTATCAGTGAAAGAATTTTGGCAATCCGACCAGCGGTTCCAAAAATTACCCCCTATATACAAACTTACAAATTTTACCTCTTTTTAATATTAGTATAGATAAGTAAAATATTGAATGCAAGATTCACTATGTATAAAATTTATTTGAAAATATCCGTGCAAAGAGTATCTTTGAGAGAGCTTTATCTACTCAATCTTTAGCTTCTTTGTCAAAGTAAGGAAAGCGTCTCCTAGCTTCCTATACGGATGGGTGCCTGTTGGAGCGTGCAAAAATTACGCTAGCTCCCGTCGCGTGTTCCGTTTGATAAATCGTTTTGCATAAAATACTAACATTATTTATCTCACTGCCTTAGCTTCAAGGCAAATCAAACTAAATTTCTTTGAAGAATTTTCCAACATTTTAGTGTTTATAGACCTTTCATGCTCAGACTTGGCAAATTGTTTTTAACTTTTGTTTTCCAAACAGTGATTTGACCCTTTTACTATTGCTTGTTGATTAGTTTCTCCATTGCTTTTAACCGTTGCCATAACAACCGGCAGCCACTCAATAAAGTAATGAAGGCTGAAGAAAGACAAAGAGTGTACTTCTTGTTATGATAATAGTTGAAAAACATCTAACTAGGTCGCTCGATACACCACCGATCAATTCTAGAACCTTGACATCATGCCAGTTAGTATGCATAGATTATACTTATTCTGTTTTTAATTGTTTTCAGTAATTTTAAAGTTATTTTATGCCGTTAACCTAATTTGAGTTACCTAAGGCTCTATGTTGTTATAAACAGGGATCTTTACTATTAGGTGCCTTAAAAATGTTGTTTAAATGAGCATATTAGCAGTTTGAAATATGAATTCCTAAAACTATCAAATTAGAATAAAAGATTTGCGGGTCAAACGCAATAAGGTGCCGTTGCCTCGGCCTGGAGCTGGAGAAGGAACGGGGATGTTTTAGTCACTGTCAGTGAGAGTCTGACACTCCCGCCTCATTCTTCGAGAGAAGTAATTTTGATGTTTTTCCTTTCTCAAGATAAGGTATGAAAACATTAATAAGTAAGTTTTTTCTAACTTATAATAAGTCTACGACGATTTTAATAAAACATAAACTTTTGGCAAACATAATAAGCTATTTATTATGTTTAACAACAAAACTTGATACACAATATAAGCCGTAACATAGCAAAATTTCCCCCAGAATATCCGGGCCGATTTCCACGAAACGGTTTATTAATTTTCAACGCTCAATGAATGAAACTTTTAAACAGAATTCCGTACCGAACTTTGGTGGGCCATAATGGAAAGAATTTTAGAGCTATCAACTTTTTCGGAGACCAATAAATATTCTAGAGACCCGATAATGACTGGGAAACTTAAGAATGGAATTGATTGTATTTATTAAGACTTTGTAGGAGATAAATGAGTTGAGTCTGTATTGATTTAGAAGGGTAATTTCGGTTTCTTTTTTGATCACACAGCATTACTTGGGTAATTTTTAATAGTTGGGATTTTTTTGTTAAACACCGCATGCATAATACATAAAGATTTCTCATATAGTTTTTATAAAATACCAATATGAAGCGTTAAAAACCTGTGTCTTCTAGAGGCTATATAGTAGGTATGCGGCTGTAAAGGCAGGATAAAAATTTCGTGCAAATTCGACTTGAGGTGCGTAAATAAATCATCATGGCTCTCCCACACTTAACGTGTTGATTGATCAGTTTTATTTTACAATGCACATTAGCATGTTATAAACTTTAAATTATTCTATAAACTATTAAAGCAATAATTTAAAATCTAAATCTATAATTGATTCGATGCCAGTCGTGACGTAACATACGGGTCTGCATTATCTATCGTTGCGCACCTACGTCCACTTGTGGGCGTGTCCAAATTAATTTCAACTGCATACAAGATAACGTTACGTCATACTTACATTATGACGTCACATGTCATTGATTACCTCGCGTTGTGGCTAGTCGTAAATGTTGAACGTTTGGTTCGTTGCCCGGTCTGAGTTTTTAACTAAGATCAAATCTAGATAAAATCTAGATCCGTACTATACATACTATAGTACGAATTTGGATTTTAGACAGTAGTAATCTTTTTTATCTGATTTTTATATTATACCTTTTAGGACATTATTATTATGTCGTGTATGTCGATAAATATTTATTTTAGAGATCAACATTTTGTAAATATATTAATATTTAGAACAAAACAGCTTTTTCAGCAAATCAATACAGTCATTAAACATCAATTAGTTCGATATAGCCCTATGCTTTAAACTCACTTTAGTTCATTAAATTTGTATCAGAAATAGACATGATATTTATATAGATAAGACAGATTTTATATATTTCTGGATCATTTATATTTCACGCTTTGAAATCGTAGTGTGTGACAATAGATAGCCGAATCAAATTCACTCCTGAACATATTTAAAAGCCTCTTTGGTAAAAGGGTTTGCGAAAATCCCTCGAGCTTCATAGATAGTCCTGAGTTCGCAGTTAGATCGACGAAGATAATTTTAAGGTGTTAATCCTAATATTGTAAGAGTGGGAAAGCTATGCTATGTGAATGAGGTTACTGGAGGTGCAACGCACTTGTCACTCTTCTTGTAGCAATTGCTTACCATCAGGTAACCCATCATCTCGTTTGCCGACATCACTTCATCACAAAAAGTACGCAACTGATTTTTATGCGGATTTATTTAATAGTCTACGGATTTATCTATTAAATAAATCCGCATAATTGAAAATGTAGGTTACATGCACATCAATTGTATAATGGACAAATTTATATATATATTTATATATTTTACACTTCTTGCACAACGTACAATGGCGGACTT